GATTTCATATTGTGATAATGTACACGTACTCGCGAATCACAATTGAAAATTTTAATATCCTAAATACCACATATTTAAAATACAAATAATACACTTTCCAATAACCTTTAAAGTATTTAATCGACTAATTCTCATTAATACTAAAGCTATCATAACACAAAATAAGTTCTAAAATCTGTTGAACTCATATACATATTCTGTACTACCCTTAGTAGCTACATTGCATACCATTTAATAATTGTATCCGATTGTTTGGATTTCAAATTAGATGCTTCAATATATACAAAACAATTATCTGCGTAATTTAATTTAAAGAAAAAAAAGGTGGTTCTTCATTGACGAAAAGAAGTATAAGTCACTACAGAGTAATCGTTAAATAATATTATAAAATGTATCTTAGACTATGCAATAATAATAATAATAACAATAATAATAAAAACAGAATATGAATAACTCCTTTATTAAATAATTAAAGGATGGTGGCATTATGGTGATTACATTATATATTTACAATTATTACAAATTTCGCATTTGTATAACGCTCATCGCGTATCCATAATAGTTATTCGTGTTATTCGTAATTTGTATTTTAACAAATATGCGTCCCAATTTTCATATTATACCATCGTGAATCAGAAATAATGAAACGCATTTCATTGAAACAATGCACCCGGGCTCGATTGTGGATAAGGAATGAATATTTTCAATATTTAATGTATACCAGCATCTCGTAATAATGGTAAATAATAAATACAATGTGTTGAGTTATTCTCGGAAAAAATGTAATACCACTCAAGAACAAAAAAAAAAAATGAATTAGTTTTCATCGTATATAACTACTTATTGGTGTATTAGAAATTATTCGTTTCGATGGACATAACAAAAGCCGTACAGTAACAAACCGTTTTGACCCAAATTTCCGAAGATGTGATATTGAACAATAGTCAATAATTCGATCAAAGGTACCCAATAATGTTTCAKTTTTTTTTTTTTTTTTTTTTAAATTCAACAACCCATACACATTTGTGTTAATTCTGAAGGTCACTGTCAGAGAGATTTAGTGAAAAAATTACGCACTGACGTACAGTCATAATATAGAATTATTTTAACATTAGCCTACGCCATATGCCAACATCTCGACAAAAATACGAGTAAAAGTTAAAATTGCACATTGTTAATAATAATTCGCATATTCATCACGTAATAGTGATATATAAATATATTTAAACGAACGGTTTCGGGCCCTAGATGTTTGTCTATCCATAATTGTATGGTTCTTCAGGCTACGCGTCTGGGTCATAGTTTACTACCAAAATACGCTTCAGCTTAAGGTTCAATCGCAGTCCCTCGTGTACCCCATCCGCTCCCGTGGATACGAATTTCGTGACATTTATTAATCAATTTATTGTTCGTATGTTTTATTAAATAGAATTGATTAAGCAAAACATCCTTTACTCCTTTTCGTCAATTCCTACTCTCTTTCATCTAGTCCACTAATTAAAGTCGTAGTAAAATTCATTCAGAAAACAGCTAGGTTTTAAATATTGTATAACTTACCGTAGACCTTATATTTATATTCACGCAACTACCTGTCGTCTTAAATAATTAGGGACTGAAACAAAACCGATATCTTATTACTAATATCATTCTAATTGTTATATATTATTCAAATGTAAAAAAAAAATGTAATTTAATCAACAATAAGTTAAAATGATTTACGTCAGTAAAACTTTATTTAATAATAATAATAATATCATTAATTTTGATATAATAGCAGTTTATAATAATTTTTGTTAACACTTAATCAAAACAAATAAAATTAATTAATTAACAACTTTATTGTATTCAACATTGTGTATGACCTACTACATACATAGTGATTCACCAAGCATGATCAATCTCATTTTAGTTTTTACCCAACATTTGATAATACATTTCTAAAGATTCTGATTTTGAATTTTTGAATTTATCTAAGAACCAGATTTTCAAATAAATATATTTATGTTATACCATTTTAGAAATGTTTTATAGGACTTATGGTGATATACTGACTAAGTACTTTTTTCCAAATGAGAATCGCTTTTTATAAACTAAATTTATACAATTTTTACGAATTATACAATATTATGTAAACGCAACTACAATTTCAACTATTGGCAAGTCAGATTATCGTGAGCCTATTATCCTTATAGTATATAAAGTTAAATTATTCAAGATGTACTTGTTCGAATTTTAATTTGGATATATCGCGTTTAAAAAAAAATAAAAATAAAAAATATCATGTGCGTGAAAATTTAAATTTTAAAAAGGTAAGATTAAAGGATAAGTCGGTGTACCCACAGAATACTTCTCAAATGGTATAACAAATCGAAGCATTTGAAAATCTGGTCCTTAGATGTAGGTATACTAAGAAAATATTTGTAAAAAATTGAAATTTCAAAAATCTATTGTTAAAAGAAAACAATGGGTATAAGCATGAATCAACCGGTATAATATACACACGCATGCAGTGAATTACTCTTTAGATATTCGAAACCAATTAAATTGCGGCGCGGAAGTGTTAACAAAATATAGTACGGCGGGTTTAATTAAGCGTCCACCGCTACGAGTGTGTGTGTGTGTGTGTGTGTAATATTTAAGTTGTGTTCAACAAACGTCGGCTGCTGAATTATACCTATATCGGATGACTGCACTATACAGAATATTTGGAGCACGGGACTTGACATTATTTCACGTACAATTTTCGAAAGCCCTCGACTACGACGAACGGCTTAAAATGTATACGCGTTTAATGCCACGGCCATAATTTTATGTATATAATATGTATATGTACGTACAACACGTACGCGGAYACCCCAAAGTTTATATCAAAACTATGAATAAATTGCATTAGTATAGTGCGCCGGCGACGTTGAACTTACGGTTATGAAGAGGAAAACGTAAAAGAAAATAATATATTTTTATACCAGTACAGGTACACAATACGTAATGTAAAAACACCGTAGGTATTACATACGACTTCGTAAACACGCGGTGGTTTAACGTGATCGTGTGAAATGAGTTTTCTGATTTCTAGGGGGAAACCGACCGTTTGTTACGCGTGCTCGATTCGAATTCCTAGTCTCTGACTCAATTGCAAAGGTGCAATATACTCTACTGTGCCAACTTTGTGGTGATTCTACTATACTRCATGCTGGTGCAGTTCCGATACCGATGCAACTAGAACATATTCACCCTGATATTATAAATTCAATTTATCTGTCACCCCAATAATTTGTGCGGTTTTTATAATATGTTTCGACGACTTCCAGCATAGACGTAATAATAATAAATTGACATACAGTGAAACCTATTTAGAAACGTAATTTTTATTTTGACCCTTATTCCCCCTCCTAACCAACCACCGACTCTCAGTTGAATAAGAAATCTTTTACTGTCGTATGATTTATATGACGACAGAGTTATTTAGGTACTTGCATATATTTTATTTTTATGTATATTATATAATATATGTATATATATAAAATAGGTATATTAATATTAACAAGTATTGTTATTTATTTATTATTTATAGCTACCCAGCTACAGTTAATGTTAMATAAGGTTCACTCAAATAATATTATAATATAACCTCTCAATTTGAATAAAATTGTTCACTCAATTTTCCTAATGATCACTGAGACAAAAATATTAGAATATCGATATAACACAGACCGAAGGTTTAGGTTCACTTGAAATATCACTGAAAAATACATAATATATGAAATGGACAAACGAGAAGCTGGGGTACCAAATATGATATCGGAAGCTCTCCATCCAGATAACATAAGTCACATGATGATCTTTTTAATTAAAACTAATCTTATAAATAATTTATAATATTGTGTTCTTGTTTATGTGATATGTAAATACTGTATCCTTAAAATTTTTTAACCTTAAATCCTTGTATGCCAATCGCCATAAACGCCGAGGCTTATTTATTTAAATAAAAAAAAAAATACTATGCTAGTGATTTTGAAGAATTGTATCAAAATTTGGACATTAAATACATTTAATACGAATAACTATGAACACATTAGGTATTTGGTTTTTTTTAAACAATAATTAATAATGAACTTTGTGTTAAATCTATAAGCTTTTTGACATATGAACAACATTGCTATCAACATAACTGAAAAAATTAAATGTAAATTTCGAAATAATATTATCGTGTCTTGGAAATTATAATCTAAATGTTTGGTGGAAATTATAAGTGTTTATACTTACCTATGGTTAGTTATTTAAAATTTGCAACATAAAAAGATCATGCAAACATTGAAGTTTCGTTACACCGTTGTATAGGTATTATTATAGGTATTTCTGTTT